CTCTCCGACATCTAATACAACAGTACAACTAATATTTTCTGCGACAAACGGAGATGCATATTTCTGGTAATGGCGTCTACATTCTAATCCATTTATTCCATTTTTTAGATTGTTACTAAATCACTATTTATTCACATAAACAGAGATGGATATAAGTAATTTCTGCTTCATTATCCTAAAATTTGGTGGATATTGGATTGATGTGCATGGCTAGAGTCGAACAAAGTATGTGGGTGGAAAGCAGAAAACCTTAAAGCTTCACATAGATGAAATCAATTTAATTTTGTTAAAAGAACGAGTTCAAGCACTTTGCCATTGGATTCGCAGTCAACCTTTTGACTTACACTATCATGTTAATGGGACGTCACCGAAGAATTATAAATTGATTTCAACTGATGCAGATGTAGCTGACATGCTTATGAAAGGAATAGAATTGAGGTGACGGTTGCAATGAAATATCAAGAAGAAGATATCTTCCAATCACAAAACAATCAAATTGAAGTAGCTAGACAAACAGTTAACTGAAATTGGAGAAGATAATGATATTGTTGTAGATGATCTGTGCGATGATTTCTTTATACCCCAAATTGATGAGGCAAACAGTCTATGTGTTGGTTCACTGTTTCAAAATGCCCTCACGGTTTGAGAATGCCTAGAGTTTGAAGCAAGCAGTACGATCTGATGCAATTTTTAAGAATTATGCTATAAAAATTAAGGCGAGTGACAAATCTAGAGTTATAGTTACTTGCGCATACAGAGGTTGTCCATGGAGAGTACGTGCATCATTGTGTCGTGATGGTCACTCCTTTGAAGTTAGAAAAATGGAATCAACACATTTATGCCATGTGGTCAATAGAGCAGAAAATTAGCAAGCTACAACTAGTTGGGTGGCTCAAGAAATCAAGGACATTGTCAAGAGGAATCCTGTTATCACACCAAAAGATATTAGCAATAACTTGGAGACAACTTACGGGTTATCATTGCCATATATGAAAATTTAGAGATCAAGAGAGTTAGCAAGAGATGTAATGTTTGGTTCTGTCGACGATAAATACACGTGGGTGCCTATGCTAAGGTCAGAGTTAATTAACAGGAATCCTGGATCTCACGTTACATACATGTGTGAAAGCAAAGAAAATGCATTTAAGATTTTCTTTGTTAGCTTCAAAGTATGTATTGAAGGTTTCATGGCTGGATGTAGATTCTTAATTGGGCTTGATGCTTGTCACCTCAAATCGAAGTATCTTGGTGTATTGCTATCCGCAAATTACTTGGATGGAAACAATGGTTTGTACACAATCGCATATGCTGTTGCTGAATCAGAATCTAAGAAATTATGGGAGTGGTTCATGAGGAACTTGTCTGAAAGTTTTGGCGGTGAAATTGAACATTTAGCCTTCATGCCGACATGGAGAAGGGGCTAGCCGAAGCTATAAAACTTATTTTTCCAAATGCTGAGCATAGAGTGTGTATGAGACACTTGTGGAAGAATATTAAAAAATTATTTCATTGCGAAGATGGCATCGAGCTTCAAAATTTGGTTTGGACGGCATCAAACACTTATAACCTAAATGTTTGGCATATGAAACTTGAGGAGATCTTCAAAATTAATCCACAAGTATATGCGTACTTGAATTCTTTGTCATGCAAGTGGTCCAATGCCACATTTTCAGAGCACATTAAAAATCATTCCAACACAAACAACATGTCAGAATCATTTAATGCTTGTGTTGAAGAAGCTAGAAATAAGTCAGTCGTTGATTTGGTCGACATGATTAGGGCCAAGATTATGGAACAACGATCTCAAAGAAAAGTAATTTCCTCCTCTTGGAGAGGTCAACTAGTTCCTCATGTGGAAGAATACATAAGGGACATCACAACGAGGAAAGAGCATTTTAAAATTTCTTAGAAACAGGGAAGAAAACGAAACTTGGACACAGGTGTAGTCGTTGTAATTTAAGCGGCCATCATAGAAGTACCTGCAAAAATCCATTAAATGGGGAAGGTGACGAGATTGGATATACGCCGTCCACATTATAGTTCTAATTTCACGTTGGATCACAGCATTTAGTTCTGCTTTTATTGGATTTTGCTTTGTGTTGGATTAGACCAACATTTAGTTTTGGTTGTATTGGATACAGATTTTTGGATTTCTGATTTTGCTTTGTGTTGGATTAGACCAACATTTAGTTCTGCATTTTTTGGATAAAGATTTTGTGCTATGTTTTTTTTTTTGGATATCAAAACTAAGAGAAATACAGCTTTTGTGCTATGGTTTTTTGTCATTTGTATGGATAACAATATTAAGAGCAATACATATTTTGTGCTCTATTTTTTGTCTTCTGACTGGATCTCATACACTTACGTTGAAGTACAGTTACACAATAGAAGCTCTACTTTTATATTTACGTTGAATTACAGTTGCACAACAGAAGCACAACAGGATCTCATACACTTACGTTGAAGAACAGATGATATAGAATTAAAACAGGAATATAACTTACAATTCACAACAGAAGCTCTACTTTTATATTTAATAACAAAATCAAGTACATTAGTGTTTCTTTGTAAGATTCAAAGTTACATTCATTTGCAATTACAAGACTTCGATAGCGAATTGACGGCAACAACAACAACAAGTAAAATAAGGATAACTAATAAGAATTTAATTTGAAGCAACTCATATGTAACTGAATCTGCTTGCTTGGAATGATCTTCTGAAGCTTTTCCATTACTTAAGTGATTCAGATCTTGTAGTTCATCATTTTCTTCATCAATCCACTTAAAATATCTACAATCATCTTTCGATCTATTTCGGGGGCATCTATAGAATTTTCTTCCGCGATTATTAGCTTTGTAGCAAGTATAGATTTGGCATTGCAGATTAAAATGACAATAGATCGCATTGTTTAGGCTTCTCGTTGAGGGAGTCGAGCGGCTCGAACTCATCTCCGATATTCCAAATAACTGCAATAACAAAACAAATACAAATTTGTATTCAACATCTAATACAGATATGCATTCACTAGTTTACATTCAGATTAAAGATCAAATAACTGCAATAACATCTATTTGAACTCATATGCATTCGCTGGTTTTCATTTAGATATTCCAATTAACTGCAATAATCAACTAATACAAATATATAAAAATTTGGGAAGAAAATCAGTCAATACAGATATGCATTTGGTTTTCATTCAACATTTGAAAATCTATTCTTTCATCCAAATTGTCTATACATTCCTGGTTTTCATTCAGATTAAACATCAAAATCTATCATTCTGCTTTGGGCGCAAAGCTTCGTTCAAGAGCTTCCTCCCAGAAGGCGGGAGATGTGGATGCGTGAGGGTAAGAATCCCGTATCGGGCAAAAATACAAAAAATTCGTTCTAATGTACAAGAAAACATCAAGAGGATGTTGAACAGCGTGCTATTCTTGAAGATGAAAAACATAAGGTAAAATGGAGAGAAAAATACCTAGCCGAGCGAGGGAGGGAGACGAACTGAAGGAGAATCAGAACCTCTGCTCGCAACCGGTGAGATGTGGAAACGGGAGGGTTAGAATCCCGGATCAGGCAAAATTATGACAAATTCGTTCTAATGTACAAGAAAACATCAAGATGAGGCCGAACAGCGTGTTGTTCTTGAAGATGAAAAAAGACAACAGCCACTGACCGGCTTGCACGATATTTGACAAAGCATGCAAATGTACATCTAGCTAACCATCAGTATTTATTATTAATTTTTTTTAACTACTAAAATTTAAATAAAATAAATGTTATTTAAAAGTATTAGTGGTAGTTCGAGCCGGCACGCGAGCTTACCAGCTAAGCCGAGTTTGAGCTTGAACTCTAACTCGTTTAATAAACGAGCTCGAGATTGAGCTCGAGCTCGAGCTCCTGGCTGTATAAGCTCAGCTCGCAAGCTTGAGTCGAGCTCGAGCGGCCTCGGTTCACTTACACCCCTAGAGATAAATGCATGCTTCAATGCAAAGAAGAGATGTCAATAGTACAGGAGGAACCTCTGCATAACACCAATGAAACCAATGAAATGGTAATGCAAAACGTCGTCTTATAAACGGCGCCGCCCTATCCGATCAGTAGCAGAGCATGCTGGAACATGGAAGGAAGAGGAACCACCAACCACGATAAATTCTCCTGCGCTCGGGATGACGACTTGGCCTTGCGACTTTAGAGACCTTGAGACTAATGTAAGGAGACGCACATGGAGCTAGGGAATGAGGCATGGCATGGAGATGCTCGCAAGTGGCATCAATGGCGTCGGTTTCAGCGTCCTAATGAAGGGCGGCAGCCAAAAGCTCCGATTGTTCTGGGATAAGGTTCCAATGCTCAGGAATCTAGCTTGCGTGAAAAAAAAACTAAAAAAAAAAAGAAGATTTTTTAAACCTAATGGTTAATTGCTGTGACTGATCTTCAAGAGGTCTTGTATTTGATGCTTACATGTGTATAAATTTGCTTTAATATGCCCAAATGTCCCTAAAAACTTGACCTTTGACATCTAACCCAGCATAACTTCCCTTTTTTTATTGTGTTGAACCGTTTCAAAGTGATATATTAAAGCTACTTTCTACGTAGCCGGCCTTCAATTACCTATGTAGAAATGTCTCCAGCCCTTTCCTCTTCGTAAATGATTCATAAAATATGGCCTTAGTCACTGTTGCCTGTAATCCAATCCTGAAATTGTCAACGAATACCTTTCAGGATTTACAGAGTTCTACTTTTCTATTTTCTTCTGTTTTTTATTCATTTGTGAAAACTACTCATTGCTTTATCTCTTGGTTCGATCAGACATGACAAATGGAGCCATATATAGAGCTTCAATAATCGAGATAAACTGGCGACAAAATTACACAGCTGGAATCGCGCGTATTTCTTCTTCTCGAAATTCTCAAGCTTTTGAAGCAACGGCTGCTTCTTATATATAAAGAAATGATTTTTCCTCCGAAGCTACAGAGCTCCTACTGATCGAAGCTTGATTATCATGGCTTCGTCATGGGTTACAATTACTCATGCAGCGGTGGCCATGGCGCTGCTGTTGATGCAGTTCGGGTTCCCGGCCCGATCAAAACCCGTGAGCACAGACCCGAACAACTGTTTGAATCTTATGCCGGAGCTGAAATGTTGCCAAGACCGGAGTCCCAAAAAGATCGTCGATTTCAAACTGCAACCTCAATCCTCGCCGCTTCGAGTTCGTCGGCCCGCCCATGCTCTTGACACGGAAGAGGCCCAGAAGTACGAGCGAGCCACCGCCCTTATGCGGGCATTGCCGGATAATCATCCATGGAATTTTGTCCAACAGGCGAATACTCACTGCGCTTATTGCTCCGGCAGCCACCGCCAGCTCGGCCTAAATATCTCGTTTGAGGTGCTTATTCTTCTCTGCAAAATTTATTAAATTCAGGCATCTGGCATAGGAAAATTTTTAGTTGAAAGCTCACAATTAAATAATTTTAAATCTAATTTGATTTTTTTAATGCAGGAATTAACATATGATTAGTAATATACTCTTATGCTATTTTGATTTGTATTAATTTCAATATAAATTTAATAACTTGGAAGTCTATCTTATTCTGATATAATTTTAGATGAGAATCACATTTGACTTCGTTTGGATAGCTGTCTTACTTTTTTTTAAATAAATTTTTATATAAAAATTAAAAAAATTATTTTAAAAAACAGTATAAAAATCACCCGAAATGGAATCTTAGATAATGGATCAAAATATAACTTTTAAAAATTGTGTAAGAAAATATAAATCACACATCAAATTCAAAATTTTTTGACATTTCCTAAGCCAACCAGCCATGCATGCACATATGGCATTTTATCTTAAAGTTGATCGTCGGCAGCAACTTTTGGTATTGGACTCCTTCGGTAGCATTTACGAAGAAGACATGAATTCCTATAAATCCATTTCTTATGATGCTGATTGAAATAAAAAACAACGATTCCCCATTTTTTTTCCTTTTTTTTAAGACAGTTGAATATTTTTCATAAGAATAGGATATTTCTTTTTCTTAATGCAATAAATAAATGAGATTTTTATGAGATTACGGCTTCATTTGGGGATTTATTATTCTGAGCGGAGTCCGGAGGGCGTCCGGAGACTAATAAAAATACTCCACGTCACCTCAAAAATGTACCACGCTCGATACCAAGCGCTTAACCGGACGGTTCTACCATCTAGTGTCCGCATAGAATAATTGGGACTATTTTCTTATTACTTCTTAAAGTGATTTTGTAGTACACTAGAAAGCCACTTTATCAAGCAAGGAGAAAGCCATCTCAAACGAAGCTCGAAGGAGGGGTGTGAACGAGTCGAGCTGGGTTCAAGTCAACTCTAACTTGAGCTTGAGCTTGATTGTCTAATGAAGTTCGAGTTTAACTCTATGAGTTTAAATTCACGAGCTGGTTTGTTTATGATGTAAAAGGAAAAATAGTTTCGATTCAAATAACTACTATCATGAAATTATAAAAAGAATGAGAAATTAGAATATCAATAATAAAAAATAATTTGATATAAGAAATTGAAACATAATTTTAAAATAATGTTAATAACCTTAAATTTAAACTCTTGAATGCTAATATGTTTTAATTGAATTTTATATTAATATCCTTTAAACGAGTCGGATCATGAGCAAACGAGTTGAGTCAAGGCTAGTTTATGCTTAGCACATTTTCTCATATAGTTCAATTTATGAGCTATTTATCGAGCGAAACTCAAGTCGGCTTACGTATATGTTTTACTCACTTAAACCCCTATATTAAAGCACTAACTTACCCACGTTGTTTAGTTTGGTTGGTGGGCGAGTACAGTTGTGAACCCCCCAACCCATGCTCGGTTCCTCTCTAACTGCAGCGTCTCTTTAAGACGGCCCAATCAAGTGTGGGTCAAGAGATTTCTGGGGTGGGTGCCCTTTTAAGTCAGCCAGCCGAGGATTCGTCACGCTGCCAAGCATTCTTTCAAAGATGACAACAGATGGATACCCCGATCCAAAAATAAAAAAAACACAGACTTGCACATTAAATCACTGTGTTGTTGTTGGATAAAAAAAAATGCTAACAAAAAATTTTGATGTTGTTCTAACAGATCCATGGCTCCTGGCATTTTTTCACATGGCACCGAGCCTACCTCTACTTCTACGAGCGAATCTTGGGCAAGCTCATCAACGACACTTCTTTCGCCCTCCCATTTTGGAACTGGGACGACCCTTCCGGCATGAGCATTCCACCCATCTATCGAGACAATTCTTCCTCCCTCTCCAATCCCACTCGTTACCTCATCGGCCTCAAGTTCATAGACCTCGGCGGCTGCGAGGGAAATAACACTGTCGAATCCCTCCCAATGCAAAGACAATGCAATCTTCAGGTCATGCACCGCCAATTCATCGCCGGATTCAACTCCAGCTCCCTCTTCTACGGTAGCCCGTACCGCGCCGGCGATAACTCCTTCCCTGGCGGCGGAGCCATTGAAAGTTCACCTCATAGTTCCGTCCACCAGTTCACTAGCTCCGACATGTCAATTGTGACCAGAGCCGCCCGAGATCCCATCTTCTTCGCCCACCACGCAAACATAGACAGGTTATGGGCAATATGGGAGAGCATTCCAGGGAACGGAAGCAAGGTTTTTAACGACAAGGACTTTCTTGAAGCTTCGTTTCTCTTTTGGGATGAGAATATGCAGCTTGTACGCATAATGGTGCGGGACGTTATTGATACGCGAAAGCTTGGGTATGTGTATGAGCAAGTTCCGTTGCCGTGGATGAATTTAAAGACGGTGGTGGAAGAAGTGGGGAGTGAAGGTGTGGCGGTGGCTATGGGCGAGGATGATAGCTGGAAGGGGGAGGTGAAGTTTCCATTAGTGTTGAGCTCGCAAGTGAGTGTTCATGTTGGAAGGAAGGTGGGGGCGAAAGGGGAGAAGCTTGTTGTTAGTGATATTGAGTTGGATGGGAGAGATCATGTGTGGTTTAAGGTTTATGTTGGTAGAGTGGGAGGTGGACGTGTTGAAGCTGGGTGTTTTATTCATATGGAGAGGAGAGCAAATGAAAGGATAAATATGGCAACAAAGCTACAGATTGGGATAACGCAGTTCATAGAGGAAATTGGTGCTGATGGTGATGATTGGGTGGTGGTTACTTTGGTGCCGACGGTTGGAAGGAATAAAGTGACCGTTGGAGGAGTTTCGATTGTATAAAGAAATAAACAAACTTTGTACATTCTAAGAAGTTCAATATATATATATATATATAGATGGGCTTATACGTTAATTAAAATTATAATTATAATTATAAATCCTTAAAGGAGATCAATAGCCTACAAATGCTCATAAGAGCTACATCAAAAATAAAAGAAAATCTATGAGCCAAAGATCTCAGCTAAGTACAAGCAGCAAAAAACTTAAAAAAATATTAGAGTGGCCAAAAGCCAACATTCAGAACCAGTAGATCCACTGCAAAACTTCCAGAACCTTCATCCTACAAAAATTGTAACTTGGAGCCAAAACCCAAAACTAATAGATTGATAGAGAACCTTCCATATCATCATCCTGCAAAAGTTGCAAATCCTAGAACCAGCACTATAGGAAAAATGCCAAATACCGGCGATTTTTTCCGGCGGTTAGGAAGTAAAAACCAGCGGTTATAAATTTTATCGGTGGTTTTTTGGCGGTTATAAATTTTATCATATTGAAAGGAAGGCAGTTGAGATGCAACTTGAATGAAAGTTTCAACTCCCTCTATAAATTCAACTGTCAATCCTTTTCGACCCAGCAACAATCTGTTATACATCTAATATCTCTCTTCTTGGATAGTCATTTGGACGTTGAAGCAAACGTCACCCTACATAGTTATCAAAACATTTATTAGAATACATGCATGTGAGAAACGTGTTATAATTTAGGTGGAATGAGTGGATTTACTCAATAGTTTAATTTTTCAATGAAATTGATTTCCAGAGCAAAAGGCATTAACCCAAGAAAGTTGCTTTATAATAGCTTGTGTGATTCCCATAGGGCTACAAGCGGACCAAACTATCATATCTACGCATCTATCTTATGTGTGATCATATAGGGCTACTTAGCGGACCAAACTAACCATCTACATCAACTATCAACAACAACAACAACAATATCAATTCTTTATCCCACCACATGGCATGTATCAAATCAACACAAACTAATCATCTACATCAACTATCAAACTACATGAATTAAACTCGTTTACATGCATCTAAAGAATAAATTAAAGTCATTTGATTCCTACAACTTCTTAACATGTATCAAATCTAACAATTATACGACCAAATCAAAAATAAGGCAACTCTATCTAATCTTATGTACCATAGGAGCACTCCAAACTTTTCACATATATTCTCGTTTCAATCTCGCTCTCTCTACCCCTCTCTCTTTCTCTCTAACTAACGCTCTCTCTCTCTCTCTTCTTCTCTCTCTCTTTCTCTCTCTCTCTCTCTCTTCTTCTCTTCTTCTCTCTCCCTCTCACTCTCTTCTCACCTCTCCCTCTCTGTTCTCTCTCCCTCTGCTCCTTTTCTCTCTCTCTCTCTCTCACTCTCCCTCTCTCTCTCTCATAACACTTGCTATCTATCTATCTCTCTTGTTCTCTCTCACTCCCTCTCTCTCATCTCAATGCTAAGCTCTTTGTTCTCTCTCTCCCTCCTCTCTTTCTCTCTCTCTCCTCTCCCTCTCTTTTCTCTCTCACTCTCCCTCTCTTTTCTCTCTCTCTCCCTCGCTCTTGCTCTCTCATATATCTCTCTATCTATATATCACTCTTTTTCTCTCTCTCTCTCTCTCTCTCTCTCTTTTATCTCTCCCTCTCTTTTATCTCTCCCTCTCCCTCTCTTTTCTCTCTCTCAATCTCTCTCTTCCTATCTTCCTCTAACCCAAAGTCACAATCAACAAATTAGATCTATCATTACTAAATTAACACTTAATAAATAGAAAATTTAGATCTACCCAAATGATTACAACATTACCTCTTGCATATCTCGAAATTACTATCCAAATCATCCAAAATATTAAAAACTCTTACAAATGTCTAGTGAGAACAAATAATCAAAGAAAAACGTTAAAGAATACCTTAAATTACTGATTTTTGTTCAACTCATAGGAAACCTAGGGCAGCCGGCGGCGTGAGATTCGGAGAGAGATCGACGGCGGCAAGTGACAGCAAAGGTTGACCGAGCGAGAGGCGGCCGGTGTGGGGTCGGCGGTCCGAGTTACTTCGTTGGCAGCGACAAACGGAGCACGATTCAGCGATGCGGGCGGAGGCGACGGGAGAGCGACCGAAACGAGAGAGAGAGAGAGAAGGAGAGAATAAAAATGAAATGCGAGTTGCGGGTCTGTTTGTTTTAGGGCATTTACCGGCGGTCTTCCGACGGTCCGGACCGCCGGTACCATTATAACTTATCAGCGGCGGCTCAGCCGCCATTAAACCGCCGGGTTATATTGACGTCCGGCGGTTTTTAGACCGTCGCTGGTACTGACGGCTTTACAGAACAAATCCACCGGTAGGCCGCCGGTAAAAGCTGACGGCGAAACCGCCGGCTAAACAGCCGTTAACACCGGCGGTTAATAAACCGCCGGTTAGAATCGCCGGTAATCGACATTTTTCCTGTAGTGCAGCATCAGCACAACCAAAAAGGAGGAGTAGGAGCCCGTAACTCAAAAAGGTATAGCTACAAAGAGAAATAGGAATGCTTCACACTACAAAAGAACACGTGAGCAGAGAACATAGATTTGCAGAACACAGCACAAAAGATAACAGAAAAAAAAAACATGAAACAAAAACCTATATCCAAGCAGACGATTGAGGCACTAAAGCAGAAAAAATGAAACAAGCTGCAATCCAGCAGACAACCAACTTGTAATCAGACAAAAGCACCCATGAAAATAAGACGAAGCAAGATGCCAAAACACCTGAGAGAGTACCAACTATAATCAATCTTGCATAATAAATCCTTAAATTTCTGAAATAAGTAAAAAATGTTAGAGTTCACACATTTATTATCCTTGATAATAGAAATTAAGCCCACATAATCAAATTCAATCCATAAGGATTGAAAGTTAAGGGAGTGACACTCCCTTAAACCATTGTATAGGGTAAAGATGGTCGCAATTAAGGCATCAATAGTAGGGTGATAAGAGGCAAAGCCAGAGATCAATTTACCATTGTGATCACAAATAAGGCCACCAAAACCCACATCAAGACTTCATCAAAACACCATGAATGTTGAGCTTAAGCTGCCACACAACAAGCTTAGTCCAATTCACAACCATAGGAGAAGAAATAGTACAAGCACCCTAATAACTAATGTTAAAATAGGATAACCAGTCATTTCTCCAACAAAAATAATTGATATTTAAGACAATAGCCATATAAAGTTGCTGAATTTTTAAAACCAAGAGGCTAATAACCCTTTCATAACATATCTTAATACCCTTATGCTTGCAATTATTTCTTTCCTCCCAATGAAGCTAAAAAACAACTAAAGGATTGCCTTTTAAAATTATTTTGAAACCATTCATTTAAAATTTTAACAACATTGTTAACATTAAAGCCAATATTAATATGTAAATCATTTTCCAAGGCAATCCAAACTTTACCAGCCACATGGCCATGAAAAAACACATGGTAATAATTTCAGAGCTGAAATAACACTTACATTTGGAAACCTAATTAACACTTTTTTAAGCCTAATATCAACTAGAACAAATCCTTTTAATATTATCCAATTTAATAAGGATGATTTAAGAGGGAAAGAAGAATTACAAATTTTACCAAATTTATGAGGGACTCATTTTTACTTCTAAAAAAAATGCCAAGACTTATGAAGACTAAACTCAATATTATCAGGCAAGTTAAACAAAATTTGATCATTATAATCCACATTAATGGGGATTGTACAAATATAGTCAACTAAACTTTGAGGATAAAATCTAGGAGATGATTAGTTGACCAATTACTATCATTAATAAACCAAGAAACTTTCAAAGAAAAGGTAGAATGAGTGTTGAGAAAAGAATCAATAGACCCTGCACCAGACTAATAATCCTGCCAAAAAAGTGAAGACCCATTACAAATTCCCAATCAAATACTAGGCTGATCAGCCCATTTAATGTCACAAAGCCTCTTCCACCCTTGGATTGCCCTTGCTTAATGAAAGCAAAAGAATAATGTAAATTCTTACAATGTTTTTATGCATAAACTTAACCCGCAAAGAATTATTCTTCCTAAGTTTTCACCAAAGTTTAAAAAAGAAACTTTTAATTAAGTCAAAAATAGACTTGCAACCTATTCCACCTCCAAAAGAGGGACAATACGAGCACCCCATTTAGATCAGAGAATTTTTTTTTTTTTGAAACATCATTGGAACCCCAAAAACATTTATTGTCTTTTTTGAACAGGGATCACCTTACTTAATGTAACAGGCCAAACTCTTAACTATCGAGATATTATCAGCTTTGGCTTAAGAGTCTCATAGTTTTATCTTATTGGTGTAACTTTCTAGTATGTCAACCATGCATCCTAGAATTACTTTGGGATGATGACGCTTAACTACGGAGTTTCTTACATAAATTCTAACCATTATACGAAAAGGCGCCTCTATGTTTAAGAGTTGGATTTCTTTTACTTAAGGGGTTTCACAATCTCCCCCACTTAAGTAATTGACATCCTCGTAAGTATCTATATCACAGAATCATCTACCAGACATATAGGATTCTAGAGGTTACCTCTACAAGTTCAAGTGGTGGCTCCCATCATGTAGCACTTTGTCCCAAACAGGATTCAAGGTGGCTCCTATTATATAGTACTTTGTCTTATATAACACTTTGCTCCCATCTTCCAGCTGGTATACTACTCTGATATCATTTGTAGTAGCACAAATTCTTAAATATCAAGATATTATTCTCTTTGGCCTAAGAGCCTCACGATTTTGTCTTGTTGGTATAACTTCATAGTAGGTCACCCATCCTAAAATTACTCTAGAATGAGCACACTTAACTGCAGAGTTTCTTATAGAAATTCCAACCATTAAATCAAAAAGCACCTTGATGTTTAAGAGTTAGCTTATTTTTACTCAAGAGGTTTCACACTTAATTCTTTGGGTACCTTTAAAAATATCATGGGATTTAATTTGCCATGAGGATAAAAGAAAACCAACAAATTTTAATTATACTTT